CTTTGGCTCTTACTCTTCTTAATTTATTTTCTCCTGCCTTGTGTAATAATGTTACAATACAACAAAATTGGTTGCACTGGGTAGGCTACATGAGGAAAATAAGCTAGACTTGTGCTGCGTTCACGTGCTATGGGAAATAGGAAATTTTCCACTTGTGAACTGGTATTTACCAGTGTGTTGCGTTCAAGTGCTTTTGTTGTCGTAATGTGGTAAAAAGATGGCGATCCAGACCTGTTATTTAGCTAAAACTATTTTAGATTGCTTAAGTCATCTGCAACAGCAAGACAATTATTTATCAAAACTCAAAAGGTAAATAATATGCTGTATATTTTCTAGATCATGAATAGTATATATTTTTTACCATTCACGACTCTCGTGGTGCTCTCCGCCATTTTGAAATGGTCAAGGTTATCGCATCTCACAGACTCAGCATACAAAATGCATCAACTAACAAAAATACTTTTACATAAAAACAAACATACAATATATTATGAAGAATGTCCGTAGACAGTTGATGGACCCTATTGACTTCCATGGAAGTGCATGGAAATCCATTTCATGGAAGTCAATGGGGTCCATGCCCATCAACATTCCTCAAAATATATTCCTTTCAGCACAAAAAGTTTGTTTGGTGCATGTTAGCACTAGTGGGTGGGGTAGAGTAGTTCTGTGGCCACGGGAGATTTACAAAGTGCTTCTGGGCTGTATGCAGAGTTTTCAACGTGCCCCTCGTAAATTACCGTGCAAGGACTGCCTTTAATTGTGTGTTTTAGTTCATCTTAAACTCCAGCTGAGAGCCTCTCAAGCACCCTCACTGCTCTAATTAGAGTACAGTGAATAATAATTTACTGGTAATTAAAAGAAACCATAAAACATTTTTTTTCTCTCGTTTTCCTTGCATCTCCTTTCACATGTTTTATGTGGCAATGGATCACAAATACAATTTACTCAAGTTTGTTTCAGTGTGCATGTGGCGTGTGGAAAAAGAATGAGGTAAAATTGTACATGCTTGATTTGTATGAAAATTGATTGATTGATTGATTGATTGATTCATTAATTAATTCATTCATTATCATAAACACACTAGTTTGTAGTCCAAATAGTTTTACCGTTTGTTATTATTTAAACTATTGCTTTTAGGCATGTTCATTCAGTCCCAACAATAGTGTTGGTGTAGAAAGTCACAGCAGCTGGCATTTTGGTACAATAGTTCTCCTCATCATTTCCAAGCTGGCATCAGTGGCCTGTCATCTCCTTATACAGCACAGACACAGCTGGCAGCACCTATCACAGAGGAAAAGCATATGAATTACTTGATTACTTACTGCTGTTAACCACACGGGAGCAGTTCCATTCATTCATATTTCGCCTCCTCACTTAGTACTCTGCTATGGTTAAATACCACTTCTGTATGTCGATGGTTGCCAGTACTCACCCTGTAATCTAATATAAGAGCCAATGTGCCACCTGTCTCCACTGGTCAATCGGGATGAAAACTACTCGGCACTCAAGGATATAAGCGCTCTGAAAGCACATTTGGTGGAAATTATGCTCAGTGCATTGCTGTGAAGTGAGTTGATGATGCAAAAGGTCTGTTCCAGTGAGGTGAGGCTTTTGACTGCGAAAATAGGCTAATCTAAAGTTTGTGCTCATCCATATTCGTATTCTCATGAGGTGGCGTCAATTAGATTACATCTGTAGACTGTGCTCCATTGTTTCCTGCACATGCAACTACAAAGTAAATTTTATTTATATAGCATAGCTGAAAAAAGTGCTGAACAGAATAAGGAAAATTAAATAGAAAACCGAATACAACTAAATAAATTACAGACAATAAAACAACACAACGCCTGGGATAAGAGATACGTTTTCAGCCTCTTTTTAAAAAATGATAATAAAGGGTGGAAGGCATAATGTGGCAGTTGATTCCATAAACGAGGGGCTGAGACCAAAAAAGCTGTATCACCTTTAGTTTTTAAACAAGATTGAGGGACATACAAAACATGTCAGGAGAACTAAAAAATCTGCTAGAAGAATGTGGAGTTAGAAGATCTTTAAGATAAAAAGGAGTTTGATCATTAAGAGCTTTAAAAACAAACAACAGAATTTTAAACTGGATCCTAAAATGGATCAGGAGTGTCACAGGGCGGTTTAAGGAAGACGGAGCTAGATGAAAGCAGAAATAACACTTTGTTTAATAAAGCAAACTCAGGAACAGGCAAACGGGTGAGACAGAGTGTATAAAAAAAACCGAAGAAAAAAAAACCTGAAGACTGTCAGGAACTTAAATAGGCTACACAATGATGATTAACACAAACGACAGGCAGCTGTGAGGAAGGTGATCAGTGGATACAGATTGGTGGTGGGAAACTCAAACGGGAACACACGTGAAAACTGAAAACAAACTGAAAGTCAAAAGAGCCTATGATGGAGCCAATGGGAGGGATGCTTAAATTGGGGTGACTTGGTCATATTTCTGTGCCTTATAGTCGACAGCCTTGCAGCTGAATTTTGAACCATTTGAAGGCGAGCAAGAGATAAAGAAGATCCAAATACAATGAATTACAGTAATCGAAATGCAATGTTATAAAACCATGTATAGACCATTTCACAAGATGTAAACAACACTGGTCCAGAAGCACTTCCTGTTTCAGTTTTTCAACACTACATAAAAGCTGGGATAAAATACAACCAACAGAACATTTAAAACTGAATCAAAAAGTTAAACAAACATCTTTAAGATGTTTTCTTTACATGTGAAATAAAGAAAACAGTTACAAACTGAAACAGGAAGTGTTTCTGGACCAGTGTTGTTTACATCTTGTGAAATGGTCTATTACTTTTCCCAAATCTTGGAAAGACAAAAACGTTTTAAGTTTAGAAATAGTCCGTAACTTATAACTCTTATGAGACAGATAATGCTCTTAGTGACCGAATTAATTTGCTTGGTTAAACATAATTCTGAGTCCAGGATGATACCAAGGTTCCCAACCTGGGAAGAAATTGAGGAGAAACAATTCCTAAACTCATTTATGAGATCACCTCTTAATATCGGGGGACCAAAAACAATTATTTCCATTTTGTCCAAATTAAGTTGGAGAAAGTTATTTGTTAACCATTTATTAACATCACCAAGACAGTCCAACAATGGTTGAATGGAGTCACCAGCTTTCAACAAAATACTAATACTGCCCCATAATACTATTCCCCAATGGACACATATAAGCTACAGAGAAGCGGGCCCAGAATGGAGCCCTGAGGTACACTGCTAATAATAGGGGCTGAAGATGAGGAAAGCTTACCCTGAGCAACAGAAAAGGAGCAGTCTCCAAGATATGAGTTGAAACATAGGCCATGTCCACACTAATACGTTTTCGTTTGAAAATGTATATTTTTCTCTCCGTTTTGGCCTTCCGTCCACACTGAGACGGCGTTTTAAGTCAACAAAAACATATCGTTTGGAAAACGCTCTCCAAAGTGGATAAATTTGAAAACGCCCACTGCATGAAAAGTGGGATTTTCGTCCCCGTAAACTGTCGGAAATCTCCCTAATTTTCGGCAGTTAACGACAATTTACAGACAGTGAACGTCGCGTTCCACTGTGCCACATATTGACGGAAACGAACCATGACGTATGCATGGAGCGCTCGCGGAGGTGTGAATGGCCCTAATTAGCATATGAATAGCAGCACTGCGCGCGCCTTGCCAGAGAATGGCTTGAATTTCCTCACTCAGTATTGGTTGAAATTCACTACATTTAAACAAGATAATCACTCGTGATTGGTTGGCAGATCTGTTATTATTGGTCAGCTTACATAAAATTATAATAATAATTATTTATTTATATATATTCATATGATATGCTATTATGTTGTATATTCATGTCATTGTTATCCTATGGACTAAACTATTATTACCATCAAGGACATGAATTTATTGAGGAAAGGAACATATGCCAGATACTGTTTATTCAAAGAAATAGCTTTATTAGAACAAACACACAATGTACAAAGCATAGGAGAACATCTTCAAAGCACAGAAAACATGTCCTCCACCCTCTGGAAACATGGGATAACATACATACAGCACTACAGTTATACAAATAAATCAATAATATATTGTATCTTTATTCAAAAATAAATTGCCCTGAATGGCATCAGAATTGGGCACCAGATATATCAAACACAATGTACAGTGGAGGCAGAATTGTGAACAAATAATAAGGATGTAATTTATAGGGATAGTTCAGTTTGAAATTAATTTTTGATATGTTTTAGCTTACCTCAAGGGCATCCAAGATGTAGGTGTCTTTGTTTCCACAATATTTTCAATTTTGATATTTTTAGGTCAAACCGTTCTTGTCTGTCAGTCATATAATGGAGGTCTATGGTCACCACCTCAAAGAGCATGCACAGAGAAGTCCAAATTAAACATGATTTAATGACTCATAAATTAAGTACACATTGATGGCCTAAGACACGAAACAAGCGATTTGTGAGAGAAAACAAACAGTTTATATATATATGTGAAGAGTTCAGATGCAAAAGCCTCTAAATGCCATTTGAAATTTTCTTCTTTAATGATGATTTTTATCAAACTTGTATATTTAAGTTCAGTAATTTCACTTAAATAGCAATTAATAGGTAATTATCATCGCCATTTAAGTGAAATTACTGAACTTAAATATACAAGTTTGATAAAAATCATCATTAAAGAAGAAAATTTCAAATGGCATTTAGAGGCTTTTGCATCTGAACTCTTCATATATATATATATATACATACACACACTGTTCATTTTCTCACACAAACCGCTCGTTTCGTATCTTAAGCCATCAATGTGTACTTACAGTTACGAGTCATTAAATCATGTTTAATCTGGATTTCTCTGTGCATGCTCTTTTAAGAGATCCCCATAGATTTCCATTATATGACTGACAGACAAGAATGGTTTGACATAAAAATATCAAAATTGAAAATACTGTGGAAACAAAGACACCTACATCTTGGATGCCCTTGAGGTAAGCTAAAACATATCAAAAATTAATTTTAAAGTGAACTATCCCTTTAAAACTCTTAATTCAAGTCCTGTAGGCTCATCGGGGCGTAGTGAATCCTCCACCTCCAAGTCTTTGCGACGCGTGCTTGAGGTGCTCACACACGTTCACCTTGATGTACATACACCTCAGTGGCTATGGAACCAAATTTCATGATCCCTTCTGCAAAGTTGAAAAAGACCAATGATTTAGATGTATGCAAAGACAATCTGCCCCAAGTCCCCACATTTGTAAGCAAAAATATGTTTCCTTTGCATCCACTACCTGGTTTCCTTCAGGCGATGGCGGATGTCGACCAGTAGTTTCAGGACATTTTTCTGGAACACTGAAATAAACAAACACATTTGGTGAGGTTTGCAATGCTCTAATTAGAATAGCAAAGATAGAAGGTGTCTATTAAAAGTGTCTTCTCCACTGCCAATAGATCAATACTTACCAGTCTCAGTCACTGCATCTCCCAGTCTCAGTCACTGCATCTACACCACAAAAAATGTTATACAAGTTATTATCAAATGATGAAACTGAACATATTTATAAGATGATAAATAATAAATCTGCAATATTGTAACAATTAGAGATATATCTATAAAACTTGGTGAACTGCAAAGTACTTTGATGAAAATTGCGGCCTTAATTGTAAAAAAATTCTAAATTACTTGATTTCTTGTTCAAAGCAATGTGTACACTGTGTAACAGGCATCCAGGGTCATATGACCACCACCTGAATAGCAAAATAATCCTAAATGAGCTTAATGTGAACGCAGCCGACAACTCACCGTGCCTGTCATGTGCTGAGATCACTGCGCTGTATCATGTCTGGACCTGGGCGGGGGACTGGGGGCATCACTACGGGATCGGTCTTCATGGATTTATTAGTTCCATATGGTTATACCTGAAATTAAAATAATTTTGTAATTATAATACGTTTCCTGTTGTGTTAGTATATGTGCACTGGAAGCCTCAGCACACAAACAAACTCCTTATGTGTGCAAGCACACTAGATAATGAAGCTCTTTCTGATTCAGATTCAAAGTAATAGCAGTGATTTGAAGACTGTGTGCCTCGCACGTGCCGTGACCCATCATGTCTGGACCTGAAGGTGTGCCTCGAACAATCTCTGTGCAGGACCTGATGGTGAATCGAACACTGGACCTAGTAACATTTAAACTTGGCCAAACATTTATGAATATAACATGCCATGTTCCAGTTCTCTTTGGCGTTTTCACCACTGTCTTACTCTCAAAGTCATCCGTAAACACAGACGTTAATACCAAATTAGTTTAGTTTTACTGTTTATTTGACTGGGGCCTGATCAAAAGAAAAGAGGATGAGATCACAACACGTAACGTTACCTTGTTTAGGTGTTTTTTCTCCTATCAGGGAAGGGCACCTCACTCCTTACAGCACCTGAGAGACAAAACAAATGCGTTAACAAACATCACAAACAGATGGAGTTAAAGATTTCACTCCATCACACAACAGCGTTGCAGTTTTACAAACAAGGATAGCCTACACTAGAGCATACAAGCACATTACGAACTTTGAGTTTGTATGATCCTGGCACATATAATTTCTGACGATATTCAGAGTAAACGCATTGGGAAAAGCCCGTTGAACACCCAATACGAGTTAGTTTGATTACTAGCAAAGAATGGTAGCTACCTAGCAGCCAGATAACAACGTGCAAAATACAATTTAGTGTCAAGAATTAAGAGCAGCAAGCTAACGCAAAACAAAAAAACTGTGCCGTTAAGGTTAACGCCCTTGAACATTCGCGGCAGTAATCACAGCAGGTTTGTGAAGTTTAAGACAATAACGCTAAACTACCAAACACTAGCATAAGTAGACATGGACATAGAATTCACTAGATTGGACGAACTTACCTTCAATTTAGAGGAGATGGGTTCACCAGTGATCATGACGGCGATGTAGGCTGAATATCTGTGCCGTTATTTTCTGCTTGAAAAACCAACCATGTGAAAAACACGCTGATCGCGCCGCTCGCGCCACATGGCTCGCATGTTGCCTCGGCCTATCAGAGTGGCTGGCTTTACAGGTTGGGTTATGATGATATGTTGCCTCAGCCAATCAGAGTGACGTTCACTGGATTTCGACTGTGGTGAAATCAAAGCTCTTGATAGAGTTGTCCGACCTCGGCTGTCCATGACTTTTCTGTTGCTGTTAGTTCTTTTTAAATTAGGAATAAGGTGGATAGACCTAATATAGGCTACCATGAATTGAAAAATACAAATACAGGGTGTGCATAAATAAATAACTTGATTAGGCTACTTAAAATAAATAAACCAGTAAAAAAAAAAAAACCCAAAAAAACCATCTGTTTTAACTGTTTAACTGGTTTAACTGTGAATTAACATCCAAAGATGTTATCATATAATTTAAAAACTGCTTCTGTAAATATTATGATGAATCCTATAATTTTATTAAGTAAATTTCATATTCATAAGAGTAAAATGAATAATTCTAAACCTTGTTTGAAGTTTTTTTTTTTTTTTTTGGTCTGATTTTCAGTTGTATATTGAGTCTCTCTATCGATAAAAAATGTAGTTATACAATTGTATTTACTAAAGAATATTGAAGCTAATTGAAAAGTGAATCAATGTGTATGCTATTTTCTTTCTTTAAGTAGTACAAATTACTGGTTTCTAGCTTTCTCTTAAATCATTATATTATACATAATAGATAGTCCTTTTCCCCTTTTTATTTTATTTTTTCAATTCTGTCCTATTTTTATTTTTTCTTATTCATTATAGTGAAATTATTATTTGTTGATTGTTATCTTTTTGGATATCATGCTATTGTTGTAATTGTTGTGCATTATGTGTAATGTAAAAAAAAAAAAAAAAAAAAACACTGTGAGCCTGATCTATTTCTACCAGAGATTGTCCTAGAATGAGGTATATCTTTCAGAAAAATGTTACCTGGGGTGAAACTCCCCTACCCTTATTTGCATGTGTATAGCTCACAGCATTTTCATTTACATGTCAAAGCCTCCTCTAGATTTAGGAAAAGGGGGGTCATGGGGGGACAACTGGCAAGCAAGGCCTACGTCAATTTCCGGCAATTCACGGCAGTTTTGGGTGTTGCCTGTAAATTGCCGTGTGCAGTCGTAAACCTGAACTTCCACGACAATCTACAGTGCCGCTTACTGACGAAAATCCCACTTTTCATGCAGTGGCCGTTTTCGCGTTGTAGTGTGGACAGTGAAATCGGAGGTATTTCAAAACGATGACGTAAGTTTAGTCATGTGATCCATGTTGTACCAATAGATATTCACGTTAATCGGTATTGTGCCTGTTATGTGTTATTCATTTTTACACTATTGCTAAAATATGTTACTTTCTATGTTACTTAATATGTGCTATTCTTCATAGCACAGTACTGCAAAGATGACAGATAATGTACTCACATTTGCTGTTCTGCGGCAAAACAGGAGAGCAGTTGCGTTTCAGACCAAACATATGGTGACTGAATGCGACCTGAACACATCCGTGATGGTGAGATATTTTGCTAAGTAAAATTATCCTGTTATTGTGCGATGACATTATTATTTATTTTCCCATCTGTATCATCTCAGGGAGCTTTTGTGAAGTTTCACGCATGCGCAGTAAAGTGAATTTAGAAGTTTCTCATCCACACTGAAACGTCGGAAAACACCTGAAAACGCTAGTGTGGACGGAGAGCGTTTTTAAACGAAAATGTGGACGTAGCCATAATACCAATCAAATGCTCTAAACACCAAAGAAGTACATCATGATGATCCACAGTCAGTATCAAAGGAAGCTGTAAGATTTAGCAGCAGCAAAACAACTTTTTTACCAGCATTTACTGCAAGTAAAATTTTACTGGACCACTTTTAGCAAACCAGACTATGTGCTATGATAAGCAGTAAAACCAGATTGGAAAGGTTCCAATAATTTGGCTGAATTTAAAAACAAGAACAATTGAGACTGCACGACTTTCTCTAACAGCTTCGATCGGAATGATAGCTTAGAGACAGGTCGATAGTTATTAAAACAACCTTCATTCAAACCTTGTTTCTTAAGAAAAGGTTGAACAACAGAGTTTAATTAGTTAATCAAAAAGAATCACAAACTGGCATGTTAGAAGACAAAATCTGATGGAAAGTGAATATCCTCCCTATACCCTAAAATGATATGTATCAAAAATGATATAGGTTGATCCTGTTGTAAAGCAAAAAAAAAAAAAAAAACCCACAGCCATTCACTCACATGGTTAGAAAGGTTAAAAAAAAAAACAACGTTATTGTAAGACAGGGCTACATCTTAAAGACACACCATGCTATCAGCCCAAACAGGCCTTAGTCAGGGGCTTGGGCTGATATGGGTTAGTGTTTTTTTAAGATGTATAAAATGTGAAAAATTCCAATAGAACCTTATTATTTCAAGGTGACAAAATTACACTCCATTTGTCCAAATCATCATCAAATCAACATGGCCAATTATTTTTTCTCTCTCTTTATTTTTACAGAATGTTGCAGTGTTTTGTATGAATTAAATATCCAGGGACGTCTTAAAAAAATAAAAACATAAAAAAAGCATGTATACTCGTCTTTACCATATACATCTTTAGCCAACAACATTAAATTCACCCTTCCCCTCCAAATGACATTTGTTTTCTTTATGACTTGTCTCGGCTAAGTTTGAGACTAAATATCCTTCACAACTGACTGCAAACTGGCATTCAGATCTGCATCTGTTTAATTAGCAAGGCCCAACTTCCTACAATCCAATCAATTCCCAAAGGACCCCGTCCTTTTTTTTTTTTAATTCTTGAAGCCGTGCCACTTCAATAGGCTTCACATCCAAAAAGGAAGACAATACCATCACAACTTCTGTTTCATGTCAACTTTAACATGTTAACTGCATTATTTAATATGAATTTAGAATGAAAAACACTTCATCCTGAAACATTTATTAACCTAAATAATGTTAATCTCTACATGTAGGCTACTAATACATTATTAAAAATCAAAAATATTATTTAATGGACCTGTGCCAACATAAACTAACAATGATCAGTTGTATTTATATTAACCAATGTTAACAAAGATGAATAAATACAATATATTGCTCATTAATATTAAGCATTAACTAATGGGACTTTTAAGTGTTACCAAAGGTTTGTCCTTTGTAAAAGTCACTTGCTTGAAGTGACATTCACATGTACCCTTCACTAATTAAGTTGCTCACTTTCGTTATAACACTTCATGTGGCACTCCTTTTCCCACAGTGCCCTTCATCGGCCAGTGATCTTATCAGTTTGAATCAGATCTCACTCAGTGAATCATTCAGAGCCGTTCCTGAAAACTGCTCTGCACTCAAGGATATAAGCGCTCTGAAAGCACATTTGGTGGAAATTATGCCCAGTGCATTGCTGTACTGAGTTGATGATGCAAAAAGTCTGTTCCAGTGAGGTGACATTAGGCTTCTGACTGCGAAAATGGGCTAATCTAAAGTTTGTCCATCCATATTCGGTTGCACCAGATATCATCTCATGAGGTGGCGTTAGTTAGATTACATTTGTAGACTGTGCTCCCTTATTTCCTGCACATGCAACTGGAGACATGGCACAAAGCTGTGATGACCAATTCACAAAAAAATCAAATGATTATTTTTGTTTAGTAAATACATCTTATTTACTAAACGAGGCAAAGCTGACCAAGTGCTGAACAGAGTAAAAAACTAAAAATTAGTTTTAAAACTAAAATTAAATTAAAACACCTGGGAGAACAGCCTATGTTTCCAGCCTCTTTATATATATGAAGAGTTCAGATGCAAAAGCCTCTAAATGCCATTTGAAATTTTCTTCTTTAATGATGATTTTTATCAAACTTGTATATTTAAGTTCAGTAATATCACTTAAATAACAATTAATAGGTAATTATCATTGCCATTTAAGTGAAATTACTGAACTTAAATATACAAGTTTGATAAAAATCATCATTAAAGAAGAAAATTTCAAATGGCATTTAGAGGCTTTTGCATCTGAACTCTTCATATATATATATATATATATATATATATATCATAGACTGTAAAAAAAATATGACGTCACCTATAGGTTTCTGAAGAGCGTTTTTGAAGCCTAAAGTGGGCGGGGCCAGCCGTCGCCATCTTGGCAGTGCTTCACCTCTCGTCACTACCGGATAAATTAAAATGGGCAAAGAGGCGGGACGTGGGTGGAGCTGAGGTGCTAATGCTACTGCCCTCACGCTGAATTGACAACTGATTGAAAAAGTAAAGCCAATGGTTAAGGTCCAAGTTCATGTTTTGCCCTTCAAAATATTATAATAGTTAAGAGAAAAAAAATTCACCCCCCTCACAGTTGTCATGAAGGAAAAAATGAGCTCTATAGACCAAAGCCACTTTTTGCTCCAGGCTGTAAACATGTTTTTTTCTGCTGTAAAGTTGGGCATTTTAACATTGGGGAGATACAGATTTGACTCGCTTCTGCAGCCTGCCTCAAGCGGCCACTCGATAAATTGCAGTTTAATTCACTTCCGTGTTGGTTTCAAGAGAGAGACGGGGAGGTTGCTGCTTGATATATATATATATATATATATATATATATATATATATATATATATATATATAGTGCATTGCTTAGTTTATAGTGAGGTTAGACGGTAACATTGAATAAATTATAATGGAAACTTAAATCAAAATATTATTTTTGTATTATGTTTTTTACAAACAAGCAAAAATGTTCTTATAAGAGGGAATTTTTAAGTGAACCAGGATAAATGTAATCAGGTTCACCACAATGACATCATCAAACATAAACTTAAACCGCTTCTGACTAGTACTTTTAAGGTGTCCCTGACTATTAAAGGGTAACTAAACCCTTAACCAACTTTTTTTAGTTAATGATCTGTAAGAATGGGGCTTTCATTGATTCGAGTAACTTTTTTGACATTTGGGTAGTGTTTTAATTATACAATATG